TCACATTGTATCATGACGTTTGTTTTAATGTTACGAATACACAATTTTCCGGCGCGACCTGCTGACTTCTTGCTGGACGACGGTATTTACGCCCGTTGAACTGTTTGTTGACTGTTGAACCAGTGGGACTAAATCTCTGTGTTTGTGTCAACTGGTAAACGTCACAATAAATCCCTATGACATTTTTTTAGCCGTGAATAATTTTTCTTACCGTGGAATATATCACTCACACGGAATCATCTGCAGGAAATCTCGACGAGTGAATATTTTCCTTTCACACCCAGTTACTGCATTTGGATCGGTGTAGTGGACTACTGGACCTACGCATTCGTGAGTCCCCATTTGACTACTCATTCCTTTCCTATTGTGATTTTTGTGATTTTGCATTGGTTACTTTTGCTTGTTAATTTATCCGAACACGCTGATTAGGTCCTAGTCCAGTACACTACACAGCAGGTTTATTGCAACAAACGAGTGCGCGCGAGTGAAAAAAATTACAACGGCCCCGCTCTATCTAAAGAGCACTACATTGATCCCGCTGATTAGGTCCTAGTCCGCTACAGTACACAGCAGGTTTATTGCAACAAACGAGTGCGCGCGAGTGAAAAAAATTACAACGGCCCCGCTCTATCTAAAGAGCACTTTTTGACATTGATCCAGGTTGTCCGATGGGCGTTTAGTGAACACCCATCAACATCTATGGTGCCTCTATGAAATGCCTGAACGCCGATCACATTCAGTCGTGCTTCCGTGGCGTTCCTGAAAACTCGTCAGCTTTTGCAGAATTGATTGGATGATTGACTTACCTGGATGCTTGTCGGCTTCCCTATTGAGATTTTGGTCGCGTTCTAGGGTCTCAATAGGTTTCGGGCGTTCTGGGGCTACTTACAGGAATCTGACCTTCCTGATAAGGACTGAGTAACCTGTGTGGTCATGGAATGGATTTTAATGCCCACACAGACTGTCCATTCAAACGTTATTTTGTAACTGACTCGTATTCACCGCTGACAATCCATCAGAAGATATCATGGTAATACGAAGGAAATTATGTTTGGACGACACACAGAAGCCGGATATTAATCGGAATCTAAATGCCAGACTACATACTCGTACAAGGTTATTTTGTCTCTGGACTCAGTATTCGAGTTTGGCTAGATTGTACAAAGCTGTTCCTACATTATGATCAATCTAACCGGGGCAGGCGAAAGCTACACAGGTTCACGATGACCTATTGATATCTGCCGCGGATATGCAACTGTATTAGAGAACTAAAACAATTAGGTTCAGAGATGTGAGTAATTCCTCAGCTCGTACATAAAGACAGTTGAAAATACCCTGGTAAATGCGGAAGGTGATGACTCCAGTAGACAAAACTTGGATGGGTTTCTTTGTCACAGGCATACTGAATCTGCGGGAATTATGTATCTC